TTTCGGAGAAGGTGTGTCTACCATGGATGTTGTGGTCCTCTGATGACATCAGCCTTCTAGCGTGGACTAAACACTAGTGGCTCCCCAGGGAACATGCAGGCTTTCATCACTGGATTGGAGTGGGTAAATTATTCAGCTTCCTGAGCTGAGTAACTAGTGTGTACTGTGCCTTTCTAGTGTGTAGGTGGACAACGTTGGATAACCAAGGCCTAGTGAGCAAACTAATCTAGTAAATCATATAGAAGGTTTGTTGTTTGGGAGACTTTGGGTGTGGGAGAATGTATGAGAGTTTGGAGCTGTGGCCTAGAACTGCTCCAGAATGCTGTGAGCAGCAGATTTTAACGGATTGGGAATGTAGAAGAATGCTGATATAAACTCAGATACTAATAACAGTGCTCATGAGGTTTCAGGGGAGAAAGGACTCTTCTGGAAGTCACACCGCAGGTCCTTTGTGAAATGTTGCAAGCAGAGCATCTGACTGTATTTTTCCCACTTAAGAATTTTAATGAAGCCAAATTTCAATGCAAGTGACTAATTTGCTTGCTAGAGGACATTTCAAGGCAGGACAACCTTGGGGACTGCAGACTTGCTGGCTCTCACTGGTCTTAGCCAGGTTCACAATTAATGCAAAGGTAGAGCAAAAAATAGATAGATAGACTACATACATGATAGATAGATAGATGATAGATAGATAGATAGATAGATAGATAGATAGATAGATAGATAGGGGAAGTGTGCAGTTTGGTGATGAAAGGGACTTAAATAAGTATAATGTCTCAAACAAAGTGGGTTCCGTGGGCTCCGACAAAAGAGCTGTAATGTTAAGAAGATTATCACCTACAAAGGGAGACCTCAAGCTCTACACTGGGAGAACAGACATGTTGTCCTGCTGGCAGGGCCCTATCAAAAGCCACACTGTGGCAATGCAAACTCATCAGTAAGGGGCCTGCTCAGAGAACGGTACGAAAAGGGATCCCTGCTCACAAACAACTGCCCAGAAGACTTCTGGTCCAGGTTCAGCTGCCTCAGCCCTCAGGACCACAGCAGGAAAAAGCCAATGATGTCACTTGTGTCAACAGGACTTGAAATCGTCACCCACACCATGCTGACTTTGCAGGCATCCATGAGGAAAGGACATGGGTTATTAAAGCTCAGATCCAAGGTTTCAGAAGGCTGTGAGGCAAGGAAATGTACGAAAGGGCTGGGTTTCCTGAAAGGAGATATAGGGAGAAAGAACCAGCCAAAGAAACACACCCTGGGCAGAGCCAAAGAAACACCCTGAGCAGAGCCAAAGACACACCCTGAGCAGAGCCAAAGAAACACACCCTGGGCAGAGCCAAGGAAACACACCCTGAAAGGAGCCAAAGAAACACACCCTGAGCAGAGCCAAAGACACACCCTGAAAGGAGCCAAACAAACACACCCTGAAAGGAGCCAAAGAAACACACCCTGAGCAGAGCCAAAGACACACACCCTGAAAGGAGCCAAACAAACACACCCTGAGCAGAGCCAAACAAAAACACCCTGAAAGGAGCCAAAGAAACACACCCTGAAAGGAGCCAAAGAAACACACCCTGAGCAGAGCCAAAGACACACACCCTGAGCAGAGCCAAAGACACACCCTGAGCAGAGCCAAAGAAACAACCCTGAAAGGAGCCAAAGAAACACACCCTGAGCAGAGCCAAACAAACACACCATGAGCAGAGCCAAGGAAACACACCCTGAGCAGAGCCAAAGACACACACCCTGAGCAGAGCCAAACAAACACACTTTGGCCCTCTCTCCAAAACCAAAGAGATGCACCCTGATCCTGAAATCAGTGCCGAAGAAATACACTTTGTCCCTGGAATCAGAGTCAGTGAAAGAAATGTACCCTGGCCCTAAAACTAGAGCCAAAAGGCTAAAAAGGACCAGAGAAAGAAACACACTTTGGCCCTGAAACCCGAGCCAAATCTAACCCTAACCCTGTGCAGAAAACTAGCCAATCCCTGAGCAGGAGATTAAAATCTGACCAATCCCCACCCTGGAAACACTACCCCCACCCCAAGAATCCCTATATAAACCCTGTGTCTGCTCAGCTTGTGGCTATGCAGCTGCTTCCTCTATTCCAGCAGAGGGCAGCCACTCTCCTGAATTCTTCCCTCCCAGTACACCCCTTGGATGAGTTTTGGGTGAAGACCTTCTTTTGCAGCAGAGCAGAGACGACCCTGGGCAGGGCAGAGCGAGCTGGGCTGTAACACTTCTGCGGAGGAAAACTTCCCCTGCAGAGCAGAGTTGTCTCACTCCCTTCTCCACTCTCCCAGGAATGCAACTTCAACTTCACTGGGAGGCCCTCTCCTGCCAGAGCAGAGCTGATACACTAGGCAAACATCCCCAGCTGGAAGACCTTCTCCTGCCAGACAGAGCAGAGCTGATACACTGGGGAAGCCTTTCCCTGAGGCAGGGCTGTAAGCTGCTACGCTTACTGCAACCTGTGTCCTTGGCTCCCAAGCTCCAGGACACCTTCCCATCTGAGCTGTGTAACACTCAGTATCCTGTGACTCCCAAGCTCCAGGATACCTTCCCATCTGAGCTGTGTAACACTCAGTATTCTGTGACTCCCGAGTGCCAGAATACCTGTCCCGTCCCATCCACCAGAACGCTTACAGGAGACACTATAAATTTGAAGCCTAAGTTTTCGCCACCACTCCAAGTGATCAGAGATTCCAGAAACATATGGCATTCACAAAGGAAGGCTGAAGGCGAGAAATTGCCTGTCCCAAGAGGAACAGAGTTGAAGGGGCTGAACTAACCCAGGTAGGCAGACCATGAATCATGCCATCCAGAGTTCTAGATAACAGGCCTGGGCTGTTTCTAGGATGGGTTTCTGCCTGGCTTTGGTCTATTGTTTCCTTGCTATCATCAGGTTATTCATTCTGTGCCTTTACATAACAGAAATACATAACTTCCTTTTTGGTTTTACAACAGACTCTTAGCTAAAAGTTTCTTTTTAATCCCAGAAGAAACTTTAGACTTTGGAATTGTTGGGACTTAAATATTATGGAGAGTTTTGAATTTGGACTGCCTGGGTTTTGCATGATGACATGGCCATGAATAGAGTCATACCCTAGCAAAATTGTTATTTCTTACTCCAACAGCCTTTTACTTTGCCGGCCTAGAAGACATGGTTCCTAGAAGGAAACATGATATTCTCTCCACTAAATTGAACACTAAGACTTCTTCATGGCTACTTTGGATCCTTCATGTCCTTGAGTCAACAGGATAAAGTAGGAGTTATAGTCATGGCAGGTGTGACTGATTCATCTGACCTGTGGGAAACTGGACTTCTGTCACAACAGAAGTGAGATTATATAGGTGATAGGGGAAACCCTTCTGTGTATATGTCTCTCTTTGGTTAATGAATAAAGCACTGTTGGCCAATAGGGAAGCAAGATAGGTGGGACTAGGAGTCGAGGAGGATTCTGGGAAGCAGAGGCACAGTCAGTCGCAATGTAGGAGAAATAAGAGGTCCGGACCCCTTCTCTGGTAAGAGAAGATCACGTGGAAATACTCAGATTAGCAGTTATGGGTTAGTAATTAAGTCAGAGCTAGCTGATAAGAAATCAAAGCAAATGGCCAACAGCTTCATGATTAATATAGTGTCTCGTGTGTTATTTGGGAGCTGAGACAGCAGCGGGACCACCGGGACCCAAGCAGCTGGAGGAAAGACAATACATTACATATAGGGAGCATACGCAATTTACAGGGCATCACTTTTTTATTACTGTGCCTTGTGGTTAAGCTCAGTGGGAAATACAACCCAATCTAAACAGTAAGTCTAATTGTTCTAATTGTTTCTTTTCTCTTTTGTTAAGAATGTGTTTATACCTTTGATCTTAGCCATTCTGGAAGGTATAAGATGGTATCTCGGAGTGATTTTGATTTGCATTTCCCTGATAGCTAAGGATGTTGAACAATTATTTTAAGTGTTTCTCAGGATCCTGACAGGGAAACCACAGAGACAGCTGACCTGAGCTAATGGGAGCTCAACTAGGGAGCCTGCATGGGACTGATCTAGGCTCTCTGCATATGGGAGACAGTTGCATAGGTTGGCCTGTTTGTGGGGCCTCTAGCAGTGGGATCAGGACCTGTCCCTGGCACATGAGCTGGCTTTTTGGAACCCATTCCCCATGCAGCCTTGATGGAGGGGAGGAGCTTAGTCCTGCCTTAATGTGATATGCCATGTTTTGTTGACTCCCATGGGAGGCCTGCCCCTTTCTGAGGAGGAGTGGATGGTGGGGATAGATGGGAGGAGGGGAGAGGGAACAGGGAGAGAGGAGGGAAGGGAAATGGTGGTTGGTATGTAAAATAAATGAGAAACTTAAATTTATTTGTAGGGATGGAGAGATGGTTCAGTGCTTAAGAGTACTTGTTCTTGCAGAGGACCCAGGATCAATGCCCAACACTCACAACGATCTATAATGCCAGTTCCAGGAGATCCAATGTCCTATGCTGACCTCCTTAAGGACTAGGCACGCATGTGCTGCCCATACATACATACATGCAGGCAAAACACACACATAAAAAAATCAAAGTTTAAAAGAGAATAGATGTGTGTGTGTATGTGTGTGTGTGTGTGTGTAAATATATTAAGTAAATACCCATGTTTTCTTTCTCTTCTATTCTTTTACCATGTAACATAACACCAACTGCCAGACCTTCAGTGTTGTTAAACCTATTTATGTTATGGGATCTACAAAGAGTAAGTATTCCTCAAAAGACTTTGTCAAGTATTCTGTGGAAAGAATTAGTGAATTCTCAGTTGTATAGGGGATAGCCATATCATCTTAGGAGTAGTTATGACTGTCATTATCATAATCCAGAGGACTTAAGGAAACATCACTGAACTTTACCGTCAACTTGACTGGATTTACAATTGCAGAAGAGTAACAGCCCGGGGTATGTCTGTGAGGACATTTCCAAAGAGGATTTCCTGAAGGCAGCGGGGGTCTGCCCCTGAAGTGCCCTGACCCTAGTGCTCATATAAAGGACTCAAAGAAAAAGAAGTTGCCTACCACTCTACCTTCTCTTCTTCTTCAGCGAGTGTATCTGTGGCTAGTCACTGCAGACGTCAGACAACAGCCTCTTTTGCCTTCCAATATGAGCTGGATAGCAGTGACTCTCCGGGAATCTTCTAGGACTTCCAAGCCAGATTTGAACTTGAGAGGCATCCTTGTCATAGGCAGAGCAGTCACTGGGTTCTGAGACTCTCCACTCTGCAGCTAACACGCCATTTCACTGCTCAATACCTATTCTGCAAGTTTATCTGGTCCTCCAGAGAGTGTTGCATGTTGCATAGACTAAGATACCACTCTTAGTCCTTGTTAGGGCCCCATAAAAATGGGCTTGCTTCATCTTGCCTCAAGATCAGAGAGTTTAGAAACTGTCCTTAGATCTATAAAGGTCTAAACACTTGGCTATGGGCAGGATGTTTCCAGCCTTGGTAGCAGATGTCTTATCTAAATAACAACAGACTTGGGTCCAGGTGTGTTTACTCTTGATCCTGAAGGCTCAGGCCGGATAACAGGTGTGGCTGCCCATACCTGGAGGATTAAGGGAAGTAAATCTGTTTGCTCCATATACATGATAATAGACGTCTTCTGCCATTGTCCCCACTTCTGGTTGGGTATTTAAGGATGTTGAAGAATAAACTAGGGACATTCAGTATTGACCAAATTTGCCCTCCTGACTGTCTTGTGTCTCTGTCCCTTCTCTTAAAGTCTTTAACTAGCCCTTTCTCAATCCACACTACTCCTCTCAGGAACGAACCAGACAAGCTGACTGGCTCCGACCGCAGCCCGGCAAAGACAGCTTCCCATGAATCCTCAAGCAGGCAGCCAGAGCTCTTGTCCAAGCTCAGACCTGGGCAAACATATCATTTCGGAGGAACAAGCTTCTTAGGGTAGGGGTGACTGTCCCCAAGAGCCATAGTCTCTCTACCACTTAGCCAAACACATGTTAGAATTCTTCACGTAAGGGTTGGCAGAAGCCCATTGCTGTGCATATACCAAGTCGCGCTCTCACGACTCAACACCAAATAAAGATCGTTTTAGCAGGACCATTTCTCCCACTACTCCTGTTCCTCTCCCATCTCTGCTTGAGAAGTGCGCCCGGGGTCCTGGAAACAGAGGCACACAGGCAACCAAGAGCAGAAACAAACCCAGCTTCTCTGGAGCAGGTTTCCTTTTGTAGATATCAGCTGTGTTCCTGACAACACTGGGTCCATCTCTGTGAAGTCCTCCTGTGGAGTGCTCGCACACAAAACACCCACTTCCAGCATGATTAGCGTGACCCTAGTTTTCTGCAGTCCTTGCTAGCATCTTTTTTCAATGCCTTGCACGCCACCTTAATGGTCAGCTCCCACTAAGATTTTCCAAACGTAAGAGCATCAAGTGTCCAGCAAGCATACAAATATCTCTTAGCCATTGACGAAGCTAATTTTAGTAGCAGATGCGCCCTGATCTGAGCCAATGCCACCTATCCCAAAGTCTCTAATCACCAAATCATGAATATCCAGCATGCACTGGTGCACTTTTGTTACATTGGTTTAAGAACCTGATACCCAGAGATGCTTTGAATGATTGCTGTTTAATATTTAAAGTACCTGAAGAACTCCATGAAAGAGAATCCGTACCCGTGCTGCTCCGCAATTCCTGCACAAACAACGTTTGCAGACGCTCCAATCAGTGTCCCATTACCTGGAATCAGAAATTACAGAATAAAGTAACAACAAAGCTCGTCCTGGAAGCTGATCTCTGCTCGCTCTTCTGTTCAAAGGCTGTGATGTGATGATTACTGTCACCATCAAAGTCAACGCTTTGAAAACGTCTGGGAACACAAACACATTGCCAACAGGAAAATGAGTTATCTGTTCATAAGTGGCCTGATTCCTTTACAGATAGTATTATCACTGTGCTATAGATGATAAGGGGAATAGAAAAGGTCCATGTTGGGAGCAGGTAATATACATCTTTTAGAGAAAAAGACAAGCAAAGCAAAAAAATGACCATGGATGGCCTCAGGCATGAGCCTCTGGAATCTAGGCTCAGACATCGGCTAGGAAATTCTTTCGGCAGATGAGAAGCGTCAGAAACATCGAGTGAAGCAACAGCATAACCTGATTCCATTCATCGATGAGCATTTTATCCACATAAGCATTTTCTTGAGTAAGCTCTCTTTCTGCACGTGCCACACACGGACACGCTGTGCACACAGGCATTAAGGCCAGTCCTCACAGTCTGGGTGAAGAACCCAGGCAAAATTCTCCCATCAGATTATCCTTCCCACCCCTCCCCACCCCCACACGCACCCATAGTGCCTTGTCAAGAAAGACTTACACAGCCAAGCCCAAAAGCCCTTATTTCTCACTAATTGGAGCCATCGGTATTCCAAGTGCACAACCCAGGCTCCACCAGCTTAGCTCAGGCCTGACATCAGCGCAGAAACAGTAGGTGAAAAGCCTCTCTGTCCCGAGGGTTATTGAGTGGGTGGATAACCCTGCTCTGGAGTGGCTACAGTGTGTGATCAGGGGGAGAAAAATGATGCTTCTGAAACTGGAAACGCAAAAAACAGAGAGACGGAAGAGTTCTGGTGTCCTTGTGAAGAAAGCAACGGCAAGGAGACTGAAAGCCTGTGGTGGTATCATCGGGGATGACAGCTGACAAGCCCTGACCACGAATCAAAGCTCCTGACACCAGAGTAACATCAAAAAGGAGGAGCTGAAGACTGTCTAGGGCTCTCGCGGATAGACACGGGGCATCTGAAGGGGCTTGAATAGGTAGCAACACACAAGCCATGGTTTTGCTGGCCCAGACCTCCTCCTCTGGGTGTTATTCTCGAATGCATCCACACTAACTCCTGACCATCTGTCCGTCTGCCTGGTCTCGTTCCGGGTCTGGAGACCTGGCAAATGAGACTTGGCATCCTTGCCATATGTGAAAATTAGTCTTAATTGTCAAGCTTACAGAACCAAAAATCGTCTGGGTGACAGGCCTGTAGATGTGCAGTTTGGGGGACAATTGTGCTAAGGATATTTAGTTAAGGAAGGAAGACCCACCCACTGTGGGTATCACCATACCCTGGCTGGGATCCTGGGCTGTGTAAGTGGAAAGGATATCTGAGCAGCGGTACTTGTATTTCTCTGTTCCGTGACTGCCAATGGAACCTGGCTAGACGTGGTGTCATAGGGTTTCTACTGCCATGATGAACACCGTGACCCAAAGCAAGTGATGCCCTTCTACACATATGTTTCTCTCATTGGTTGATGAAAACACACTGATTGGCCAGTAGTCAGGCAGGAAGTATAGACGGGGCGCCCAGGCCAGGAGAAGGCTGGGGACAGGAAGTCAGAGAGAAGCCGCCAGAGAGACACGTAGAGACGGGGAAGATGAGACACACTAGGCATTCTCTGGTAAGATGAGGTCACATAGAAATAAATAGATTAGTAGTTATGGGTTAATAATTAAGAGAGAGCTAGCCACTAAGAAGCCAAAGCCATCGGCCAAACAGTCTAATAATTAATATAGCATCCGGGTGTTTATTTGGGGCCAATCGGCTGCAGGACCAGGGGGGACCAAAAACCTCCATCTTCAAGCAAGTTGGGGAGGAGTGGGTTTATTTGACTTACACTTCCATATTGAAGGAAGTTGAGGCAGGAACTCAAACAGGACAGGAACCTGGAGGCAGGAGATGATGCAGAAGCCATGGGGGAATGTTGCTTACTGGCCTGCTCACCGTGGCTTGCTCAGCCTGCTTTGTTATAGAACCCAGGACCAGCAGCCAAGGGGTGACCCTACCCATGATGGACTGCTCCTTCCCCCAATCACTAAGAAAATTCCCTACAGGCATGCCTGCAGCCTGATCTTATGGAGGCATTTTCTCTAGTGACCTCCCTCCTCACTGATAACTTTAGCTTGTGTTTGAGTTGGCAAAGAGCTAGCCAGCCCACACCGCCAATTCCTGTTACCTTAATTCCCCACCATGAATGATGACCGTGCCTTGAACTCCGAGCAAGAATAAACATTTCTTCTATTAAGTTGCCTGTGTCACAGTTCAGGCAACAGGAAAAGAAGCCAAAGGAATCAGGTGGGTAAAATACGTTTCAGCTTCCAAGGATCTGGTCAGTGCTTCCCAATTCACACCGGAGATTACATTTCCAAAACCAATCACGGCCTCCACGTAAGTGTTCGTCAAAATTGTTAAACCTGGGGTTAATGAGGTCACTGCTTCCTTTTGGCGTTTCTGTCTAAAATGATGAGAAGAGCTAGGGGCCTGGGTATGAATGACACAGGAAGTATGTGTGCTGTGAATGTCTCTGGTGACACTGAATGGCACCCTTCAATGTGGTCCGAAGGGTAAATTTAGGTATTTTGAATCAAAAATCCTGAGTCAGTGACAGACAGAGACCAGGTCCCAGCAGATCTGGTGTACACTTAACACCTGGCATCGTAAGTGGTTAGTGTGCCAGGAATGAGCTCTTTCCAATGACTATGTTTAAGTAAGGTGCTTAACCCCTTACTGCTTAGTCTCGCTGGATACCTGCTTCCTAGATGTGCTCAGCGTCTAGCCTACTCTAGCTTATTAGCCTATAATTAGTCCATATCATGTCTGTCCCGGAGACTCCCTCCATGACTACCCTTCACGGACTAGCCCAGAAGACCTCCTGATCAAAACTCCCTTCCCTCAGGCCACCTTTTCTCACTGCTGTCTCTTCTGATTGCAGTCTCTCTCTGGCTTTCTCCATGTGCTTAGGGCCTCCCACCGTGGGAGAACACACCCATTGTGAACACACCCATTGTGAACACATCCATTGTGAACACATCCATTGTGAACACATCCATTGTGAACATACCCATTGTGATATTCTTAGGTGCAGTGCCTGGACCCCCAGTCTAGAGCACAATGCCAGGTTATTATAGCAGGTAATTCACATGTTTGAATTTTACTGAACTTTTTAAAAGTCCCATTTAAGGGATGGATTTGAAAGTGTCCTTGGATCTTGTTTCCCTTGCTGGTGTTCAATGTATCCATGAAAGAAACTCTGTTGTTGTTTTCTGGAGCTGTATCTCAGATGGGAAATTTTTAATTATCCCACACTTTTTATAAGATTTCAGCCTCTGTCACAGCATTGGATAAATTAGCTGTTTCCTGAAGTCATAGATGTGTCACTAGCTGATGTTAATCCAGCTTCACAAATGAGCAGAAAAATGTACCAAAAAGTTACCGGTTTGATAGTCAGATAAGTCAAAGAACACAGAAGACTAGATTATATGGACATGCCTGAAGGCAACAAAAAAATGTTAAATACACCTGCTGTATTTATCTAAGATTCTCCACAATCCACCTGTATTTCCCACAGGAGATTGAGCTGTCTGAAAATAAGGACTCTAGCTTGACTCCTCTCCAAACAGCTACATCTGCAGCCCTCCTGTGTTAACCAGGGGTCAAGTTCATCTGACAGACCCTAACTCACATTACAGTTTCCTTAGACTTCAGCCCCAACACCTATGTGTAGAGAGAGCCTTTTACTTGTCTGCCGCTTGGTTTTTTCCCCACCAGTCGCCTGGGCTCTACCACGTTGTAGTCCCCAAATAACACACAGGCCGCTGTATTAATTATGAAGCTGTTGGCCTTGCTTGTTTCTTACTGGCTATCTTTGACTTAAATATTTATCCCATAATTGTTAATCTAAGTATTTCTCTTACTGGACAGACATCTTACTTCTCTGGCAGGCTACATGATGACTCCCTGTGCTTCTCCTACCCAGAGTCCTCCTGGACTCCTAGTCCCACCTATCTTGCTTCCCTATTGGGCAACAGTGCTTTATTGACATATACACAGAGTTCCCCATCACCCATGTCTGACCTTTCATCGTCCTTCCTCCTTTTCAGTATAGCCCCTACTCGCCCATGCATTTGCCCAGAGAAGAAGGCAGGAGAACGAGAGAGAACGCCCACCGGAGATTCTTCTGACGTAAACAAAGCGTTACATGGAGGCGCAGAAAGAGAACGTGCTAGCTTAGAACTGTCAGCAGTGATTGTCGTCAGACCACGGGCTCTGCAGCGTGGGAAGTTGTAGGGAGCAAGTGAAATCATGAGTGAGTATGTTGTTGTGTGGGCACCAATAGCTCAGACCCAGGCTGCAGCAAAGCCTTCCCCGGGTGGGGCTCAGAGGGGTAGCAAAGCCTTCTTTCCGTCTGATTGTGAATGATAGCAGTGTGTAAAGAAAATTTCCACTGGGCTGGAGAGATGGCTCAGAGGTTAAGAGCACTGGCTGCTCTTCCAGAGGCCCTGAGTTCAATTCCCAGCAGCCACATGGTGGCTCACAGCCATCCATATTGAGATCCGGTGCCCTCTTCTGACGTGTAGATATACATGGAGACAGGATGTTATATTCATAATAATTATAAATAAATCTGAAAGAAAGAAAGACAGACAGACAGACGGACAGAAAGAAAGAAAGAAAGAAAGAAAGAAAGAAAGAAAGAAAGAAAGAAAGAAAGAAAGAAAGAAAGAAAATGTCCACCATAACTTTCTCTCCCTGGATGTTTACAGCCTGAAGACTGGTCCCCTACAGAGACTGCTCCTATTCGTACCCTGAGCAGATGTATGAAATAACCCCGCCTCCCTGTCCAACGGTTATAACAAACTCTTGAGCTTCCCAAGAACTGTGACTTCTTTATCTGACAGGCCAGACCACCTGATCCCGGTTTTTTCTGTATGCCCATGTTGTTGTTGTTTTGTTTGTTTGTTTTGTTTTGGGGGGATTTTTTTGCCACCTTTTCATTTCCTTGCTGCTCCTAACGAGGGTTCTCCTGAATTTACCTTTGATTTGCTACCTGCCAGCTCTGTCTTCGTGGGTCCCATGGTGCCAGTGTGGTTCCCCACAGGGAAACTTCTTACCTCCCAGGCAGGCGCCGAGGGCCAGGGCATACATGAGCGGCAGTGCAGGCAGACGGACGTCGGGGTCCTGGCTCAGGTTCACAAGCACAGGGACCTGTGGTGGAAAGGACGTTGTAACCACACGCCATAGAAATGTGTAACAAGTACACACTGGGGCAGACCTTCAGAACCGAAGGGGCCTTGTTTTATTGTTGCTGTTACTGTTATTCTTGTGCTATCATTACGTGTGTGTGTGTGTGTGTGTGTGTGTGTGTGTGTGTGTGTGTGTGTGTGTGTGTGTGTGTGTGTTCTGGATTGGAGTCCGTTCTTTCCCTCCAACTTCACGTGGTTTCTGAATATAAAAGTGGGGTGTTCAGGCTTATATTCTTGGATGGCGATTGCCTTTACGCCCCAAGCTATCTCACTGGCTCTCAGAGAGTTTTTTTTTAATAGCCAAACTGTTAAAAAAAAATAATAAGTATTTTTTTTAAAGGAACACCAGATGCATGGAAGGAAGCCAAAGTGAATTTTGGCTTGCTCAAAGCCTTGAGAGTGCTTCCATCTGTCTGCGTCTGGTTCTAGCCAGATGAAGAGCCAGGTTTCCTCATTTGAAGCTGCCCAGGCTGCCTGTGTGGGTCACGATGGATGATGTCATGCCTTGTCTCGTGTGGTGCCCAAAAACCGCGAATCCAGTGTGTGTGAAACTCTGCGAGTGTCACATTCTCCATGAGACATCATCTCAGCCCACATCAAGTCGCTCCTCCAATGTGTCTGCTGTCACTTCAGTTGACAGATGCAGGCTGGTGAGGGTAAGGGCGCTTGCTGCCAAAACAGTTGACCCACGTTTGATTCCCAGAACCACATGTTAGGAGAGAGCTGACTCAGGCAAGTTGATCTCTGACCACCACACACACACACACACCACACACACACACACACACACACACACACACACACACACACACACACCACTGTCATGCCCCCACACACACATACACAAGAGAAATGTAAAAAGGAACCAAACAGACCATGACAGTCGGGCATAAGAAGACACAATAATGATGGGTTTCACAACAAAATCATGAAAAGCGTCTGCTCAGAGGCTATACCCACTAAAGCTACCTCTCCCCACTACTCTCTGCAGTCACCCTAGACCCATGGCAATTGTGATAGGACACATAACAGAGTTCACAGCCAGACGCATCAGTTTCCAGGGAGATCTACCAATAGCCACTGGCCCTCCTCCAATAGAAAAAGTTTTTCGACATTGTAACGAATGAAACATGCCGGGTTGTGACATTTCTGTAAGAACTGTGTGCTGTGTTTTTAAGGTGTCGTCTACCTGAGTGTTTCTATAACTGACAGCTTGCTGTCCTGTGTATGTGTGAGACACAGTCTGGTTATCCTTTTATCAGAATCTTGGTCCCCTAAGAATACCACAGTGGTTTGCAGAGTATGTGGATCCAAATCTGGCTACATGGCTGCCAGTCTATGAGTCAAAAAAAATAAAGAAAGAAAATAAAAGAATGGAAGAAGAGAGAAAAGAAAAGAAATATGCCCTGCAATGTCCCTCCAACGCCACCTTCCCCAGCCAGAAGACTAGCTGATCACCTACCCATGGGGAAGGCTTGCAACGCACATTGCCAAGCTAATGGGAGAGACCGTGTGTCTTTGCTGCTTACATCAGTATTTCTTTAGGGATAGCCTTTTATTAAGTTCTCAAAAATGGCATACTGGGATTCAATCCCAGCTCCTCCCTCTACAGAGAGACAGCCATGCATCTCTGTAACCATTGTGTTATTTAACCTAATTGCAGACCACTGGACCTGGCTTGGCTCTCTATATTATTTTGTTTCTGAACATTTTAGAAAAGAAAAGGCTAAAAAACAAAAATGGCATCCAGTGCTACAGAGCGAGTTCCAGGACAGTCTCCAAAACAATACAGAGAAGCCCTGTCTCTGAAAATAAAATCCCTAAAACAAGTAAAAAGAAGGCATCAAGTGAAAACCACAAAGAAAAAGCTTATGTGAAGTACTTTTGACTTTTATCACCTCCGAGTGCTCTTCCCTCTGCCAGCTATTCCAGCCAACAGCTACAGCCGCTCGAGTGCCTCCTTGTTGGGCCTGGGAAAGAAACCCGGGATAAGAAGATGCTGAAGGCTGGGTGGTGGTGGCACACGCCTTTAATCCCAGCACTCGGGAGGCAGAGGCAGGTGGATCTCTGTGAGTTCGAGGCCAGGCTGGACCGACAGCCTCGAAAACAATAGAGAAACCCTGTCTCGTAAAAACAAACAAAAAAAAAAAAGAAGAAGAAGAAGATGCTGAAGAGCAAGAGAGCCTTCAAAACACGACTTTCACACTGGGGCTAAATAGTAATACACACAATGATGCATATCCAAGAGACCCGTTTTTAAAAGCTATAAAATTGCGTGCAAAAATTGTCGTCACTTGAACTCAGCCCAGGGTATAAAAACAGTAACATTTTCTACCTGAAAGTGGCCACAGAATCATTCCTGTTCAACCCAAGGAGATGAAACAGAAGAGGCTTCAGCAAAAGGAGATGGTCTGAGAACTCTGTCCTTAGCCTGGTATCTCAGGGGTTCTCAACCTGCAAACCGTGACCCCCTTGGGGTGGAATGACTGTTTCACAAGGGTTGCCTAAGACCAACTGAGTATCAGATATTCACACTGCGATTCCCAATGGTATCAAAATTTACAACTGCGAAGTAGCAATGAAGAAATTTCATAGATTGGGGGTCACCACACCATGAGGAACTCTGCGTTAAAGGCCGCAGCATTAGGAAGGCTGAGAACCACCGCTCTGAGGGAATGATTCCCGCAGGTGTGCCCCTCACCAAGCAGCCCTTAGCTCTGCGACTACATTTGTGCTAACTGGTAGTTCCCTCGAAACAGCAGCTGCATCTGCCGGCTCTTTGGTCCTTACATTCTGGGTACAGTGGGCTCCACGGCTGTGTAGAGGGTGAAGGAGCCTCTAGTTAGAAGGGACTCTCTGCAAACAGGAACACCGATGCCCCTCTCGTCGCTGATCAGCCGGCGAGTTGGAGCCAGATCTGTGAGGGAAGCTGCAGAATGTGGGTTCACGGGGGTGGGAGGTATTCACGTCACACACCTGGGCTTGGACAACAGAGTCTAGAGAGGAAGAGCCCAGGAGGCAAGCCCTGAAACCTAGGGGCATGGGCTCTGGCTTACCACAGCTGGTCCAGGGGAAGGTTCTGCTGGGGGAGGCAGGCAGTTAGAGAATGGAAGATGGAGAGAACAGATTCTTAAGCTCTGATCTTTTATTAAGCAATGGAAAATTCCCAGGCAGCTTATTGCTGACGGCAAAGGTAAAAAAAATAAAAATAAATCAAGAGAAGCAACAGGCAGCTGGCTGTTTCCACCCGAACTGGCCCTGAGAAACACATGCGTTCTGAAATCCCACTGTTAGGTCTCCTCCAGCTGTCCGTGTCTAGAAATGAGCTCAAGCTGGCCTACTGAACGATGTCTGGTGGTTAGATAAAAGCCAGCGTTCCTCAGGAACTAGCGGAACTGGCTCCCAGCTGTCAGGTGGAGTCATTCCCGTTACCTGTGGCAGAAGGGACCCCATGGCTACCTGTGGTTGTCCATCGCATACCAAAGCCCACGCTGGCCTCCTGGTTCCCTGGGTATCACAAGTGCCTGCTACATATTTCAGGGTCCATGCTAGATAGCACTCTACCCTCCCTTTACCCCAGCCGCAGTCCTCATTGTAGACCACAGGGTTTCTCCACCGCTTCTCCGTTCCCTCCCCTACTCCTCATTCTTTCCAGCTGTCTGTCTCTCCCAATGTTATTCTTCCCTCTCTCTCTCTCTCCCTCTCCCTCCTCTTTCTCTCTTTCTCTGTGTGTGTGCGTGTGTGCGTGTATGTGTGCGTGTGTGTGCGTGCGTGTGTGTGTCTCTGTGTGCATGTGTGTGCGTGTGTGTGTGTCTCTGTGTGTGTGCATGTGTGTGCCTCTCTCTGTGTGCGTGTGTGCGCGCACATGTGTGTCTCTCTCTGTGTGCGTGTGTGTGCGTGTGTGTGTGTGTCTCTCTCTGTGTGCATGTGTGCATGCATATGTGCGTGTGTCTCTCTGTGTGTGCATGTGTGCGTGCGTATGTGCGTGTGTGTGTGTCTGTGTGTGTGTGCGCGCCTCTCTCTCTGTGTGCGTGTGTGTGTGTGCATGTGTGTGCCTCTCTCTGTGTGCATGCATGTGTGTGTGTTTGCATGCGTGCGTGTGTGTGCGTGTACGCGTGTGTGTGTCTCTGTGTGTGTGCGTGTGTGTGTCTCTCTGTGCGTGTATGCGTGTGCGTGTGTGTGTGTGCGTGTGTGTGCGTGTGTTGCTCTGCTCTGCTCTATTCTCTATCTCTTGCTATCTCACTATCCCCGCTATTCTTTAGAACTGGCCGTGCCCAGTCTGTTTTCTCTTCGTCTCTGCTCTGAACCCTTCCAGATGCACCTGGATACTTCCTCTCTCTTAGTCACAGAAACAAAAACCAAAAAAAAGCCCTTACCCTAATAACGGGGCAGCCGTGCCTACGGCCATTCCTACCCCACCGCCATCACTCCACACTTACACCCCCATCAAGTGCAGAGGACCACTGTGTCGTCTTCCACGCGTGGTGCTAAAACCACAGAAGCACAAGCCTCTGTGTGACATTTGCCATCATACTCTGCAAGCACAGGCCCAGCCTAGGATTCTCAGTCTCCATTAGCAATCATGTGTGGGCAGGGACCAGGACAGACAGAGCTAAGTACCGGAGGCAAAATCAACCAAGCCAAGGCAAAGGAGATCCAAGCACCTTGGCAAAGAGAGTCACCCTACCTCCACCGAGAGAGACAACGGCACACCTCAGGATGGGGGAGGCCCAACAGGAGGGACAGGGAGATGGAGTCTGTGACTAGAGGACACAGGAAAGTACTAACGGTGTCTGAAGGACAGTAGACAGGAGAGGATGTAAACATACAGTTGAGGAAAGTAACCTGCTGTGATTAATTCACATTTTTATCCATTTTATGTCAGACATGACTCTTTCTTCTGTACATGAATATGCATGAGCTTCCCTAATAAAATCCCTTTGTCTCCTTTGTTTAAGGAGACGGTGCTTTGGGAGTTTTCCCGGTGCTCTTTTTACTTATACAAATAGCAAACCTGTCTTCACTCTTGTAATGCCTTGTGTGCATATTGGCTTTGCACTCATCCAAGGGTGAACCCACTAGGCTCTGCTACAGGTCGAAATACTAAAGCTGTTTTATATGCATTACAAATAAGATAGTCCTCACTATAATACTATTAATAAAGTTGCTACCCGCTAAGGTTATCCACGTGAAAATTTAAAAACCTATTTGCATAGTGTTTTTTAAGAAACTAAAAAGAATTTTTTTTTATTTTTGTGCATTTGAATGTTCTGTCTTCATTATGGCCATGCACCTGGTACCCTCAGAGGCCTGAAGAGGGTGTCGATCAGCTGGGACTGGAGTTATAGGTGATTGTGAGTCACCATATAGGTGCCAGTACTCTTAACTGCTCATCCATTTCTCCAGTCCAGGAAACACTATTTGAAAAGACCAAAAGACAAAGGATTGGAACAAGACACAGAGGACTGAGACTCGGAGAGATGATGGAAACCTTACTCAGTCTGAAAGAAATGCATGGCACGAAGAGTAAACCTTCCACTGCCTAACACAACTTATCCAGCAAACAATGCCAAGCTGTGCTGAAGTGAGTGAGAGGTGTCAGGCAATAAAAAGACCTGCTCTATTAAGACATAGGTGATAAGAAAAGCAGGGAGGGGCCCAGTGAGCTAACTACACCATGGAACCTACAGAACTCTGCTCACATGCATGGGAGGAAGGTTGAATGCGTCATTGCCTTTGTCTCAGCACTTTTTATTTGTTTTACTTTGAAGAAATAAAGTGTTGCAGATAAAGGTGTCAGTTCCTCACAACATTGCTTTTATCTTAGCAATGCCACCTTAGAGGGCCGCCTTCACAAGTTGCAAACGGGGGTTTGAATGAGAATGATACCCACAGGCTCCTATGTTGGAATACTTTGTGGCCAGTTGGTGGATCTGTTTGGGAAGGATTAGGAGGCGTGGCCTTGTTTGGAAGTAAGTCAACGGGGGCAGGCTTTGTGGTTTCGAAAGATTCACCCAATTCCCATTGCTTTCTGGCCCTGTCTACCTCGGGATGGTAAGTCACGATATAAGCTCTCAATTGGTCAAGACAAATTAAACGCTTTCTGTTGCCTTGGTCATCGTGTATGGTCACAGCAATAGCAAAGTCATCAAGACAGAATGTCATCGCCTTCAGTGGCACACTGGGGAAAGAACTAGATGCAGAATCTTGATCTATGTGTGTCAGCTTGGAGGGAAGCAATACACCACATTGTTGAGTGACACTATTTCTGGTAGGCATAAGCAAACAAGTACTCATCCCAGATAGGAAACCAACAACAGACCAAAGCTATTGGTGTACCGATGACTTTTGCTGGGATTGCTCACAGCAGTGTTTATGGGAGAGTGCTTGCTTATAGGAGCAGAGATGGAGACACAGGTGGTGGTAGTTAAGTAAATAAATAATTACTTAAAGAGCATCAGGTGATGACCCCATCAATAGATGCTCTCAGGATCCACCAGGTCCTGACACTTCAACAGATGAGTCATATTCAAACAGCAAAAGAACCCAATGTTTCCAATATGGAGCATTACAGTTCAGTTCCAGTAAGATTTTGCTCCGGAGACTTTGAAGCTTCCCCAGAAGAGAATTTCAACAGGGAGCATTCGGGGCTGTTAGCCAGAGCCACATCTTTTTGTAAAGCTCCTCCATTTCAGTAAGAAATGACAATGACACTTCACAAATCTAAAGTAGCCTGTTTTTCTATATCCTTGTTCTGTCTATCCTATTAAACCCCAGCAAACTGATCATGAGAGACGCTTACCCATCATCTGACATTCCCTAAGTCACTACTCATTTCCCTCGCTACCACTAACATTAGTCCACACAACCCTGAAAGGTGATGTTTTCTGTCCTTTCCCCTTTCTGCCTTACAGCTATAAGCAATAGCAGGCTCTGGTTTCTTAGACTAGAACTGTCCCCTCCTCAGGTCCTTCCCAAATAAAGCCTGTGCTGTCGTAGAGTTGCTAATTCCTATGTCTGTCTTTCCTCCTGATCTTACAAAGCCAGAAAAAAAGAACAGACAAAGCCTGTGACAAACACTTATATCCTGGAACCTCATGATGCAGCCCGCCCAGGACAGGATTAAGTGGGTAAGGTCACCTGTTGTCTCAGGGACTGAAGATGTATATAAGGCAGCACCACCTGCCAATATCATTTATTTCAAATTCTCATTGTTAGTTTATTGTGCCTACAGAGGAACACAGTGGTTTATTAACTGACTTTTTATCTCTGAAAAAAATCATCAGTCCTAATTGTTAAATTGTAGATTTTTGAGTTGTTCAATACACAGATTAATAGTCTTGTAAACACTCAAGTGTAGCATATTTACTTCCAGTCCTGTCTCCTTACTTCTCTTACTTTATTGAACCCTAACCCTGACTAGTAAGACCTGTTCACAGATAACATTATCTTGTTGTCCATTACTTAAAGGGAAAACACTCAGTATTTAATATCTAACCATGCTGCTTACTGGAAATTTTACAGATTCTCTGGACCCTGTAAATGTGGCATTCTGGACTCCTGAAGACCTCATGTGTCTTGTTCCAGATACGCCCACTAGAAATAACAGCTACTGCATTTGTTCAGAGTTCCCAAACCCACACCCTGAAACGAGAACCACACTGGATCTCTGGAGGATAAAAAGTTAGCAGAAAACGAGTTCCAGTTAGCAGAAAGTAAATTCCAGAATGACAGTGAGGTCTAACCACTGTGGGTTCTAGAAGAAGAGCTATGAGCCAGACCCACCCTCTCCTCAAATTACCAGCTAGGCTACACCATCCTTGGGGACCCTATCTATAGGGGATGGGGGTCCCTCCCTCGGGGTCTCGAGAGGAACAGAGAGAACTCCCCAACTGGGGAAATCCCTGCACAGACCAAGTACCAGAAGCCATGTAGACTACTCAGAATAAATAACAGAGGCAGCTTGGTCTTTTGGTGTCCCTTTGGGAAAAAAATGTGGTTTTTTTTTTCTGGGAGGGGTAGCAGCCCTCCACGGGGCTCCCAAAATAAGGCAGCCACCCATGACGCACTGTCCACTCTGCAGACCCTGGTCCTAGCCCATCACTGGCCTCTAAGTTCCGTGTAAGAGCAACAGAGGAGCTGGTTTCATACTCCGCTTCTTAGGAAGGAAAGGTGGGCCCAAATGGGTGCAGGCTGAGGTTGGGCCCTAAGCACAGCTTACCATTGTGCCTGTAAATGGGATGTTGTCAATCAAGGATGACGCCAAGGCTGAGACCCACACGATTAGCACGATGGCAGCCGCCAAGCGCTGATCTTCCGGGACCATCTAAAAGGAGCAGACAATGGCCGTGCTACGCATCAACCACATAGCACCTGCTAAATTACATGCACAGGAAGAGTCAAAAGGTTGTTAGTTCATCCTGACACATGGTAAGACCAAGGTGAGCGTAGACAAGCAAACCAGGGCCACACCCGTACCAGGAACACTGGCCACCAGTAACAGAGGGGCAGCTATTCTCAGTCAAATAGCTCTGCAGGCAGAGAAGCCAGCATTTCTTACCCGCATCGGATGGCCACATAGACTGACCCCTCCCGTTGGATGGCCCAGCAGAGTCCTAAGATGGGGATCTCTGCAGCATTCGCTTACTGAGCACTGCCCCTTTTTAGACATATTTTAACTAAAGGCCAAAGCAAGATAGCAGGCATCTATAATTACATATCCTTTGATAAAAGTATCCCTTCATCTCTAGGCTACCCAGGATAAAGCAGGCTTCGGTCATAATTGACGTAATTAATGTAACATTCTTACCAGACATTTTTTTCTTTTTCCTTTTAACAAAAAAATCAAAGACTAGCAGCTAGGACATGTTCTATTAGAGCATCCAATGTACCTTTATCAGCAAGGCAGTCTGTTCTCCCATGTACTCTACCAGGTGAAGACGCGCCAGTGCCTACAAGGAAGATGTGTTTAAGAGTGAGACTACACAGAGGAGAATAGAAGGTAGGCCCAGATTATCATTTCTCATTAAAGATTAGACTCCCTAACACAGTCTACAAATAAATTTGCTATCATACATACTCACGAAGGTGCGCGGAAGGGAAAATGTACATTAGCAGAGGCAGGAACCCCTCGTTGATTTGTGTCACCCTCTATGGTAAATTTAAATCTGGACAGAAGGCAATCCTTTTATTTTAAGGTCTACATGGGATACACCACTTTATTTCGCACAAAGGAATGTCAACCCATAAAAACGTCTTTTTAACTGAGCTGAATTCCCAATGTATTTTAAAAGCTTGAGTCTTTTTTTTTTAAACGAAGTTGTTACAACCCTTTAAGCACATGGCCATTTATTTTCACAGCACGAGGGATGTGTCTTCATGACAGTCTGCTTCCGGTGGAATGTAGAAGAGTTTAAAAAGATGACAGAAGCTCGAGAGACTGCTCAGACCACAGCTGCAGCTCAGGGAGAGGACACAGCTCTGGGATGGGACAGCAACCCAGCTGTCCATTACGTCCTCAGCGTGTGACATTTCCACTGGAATGTCACTGAAGGAAGGTTAATACTGAAATGCCAGTTCGGATGCGTACATTTAAGTCACGAGGTTCTGATCCGTATGTACAGCTCCTAGCTGGACTTTGTTTAACGATGGTAGAGCTGGAGCTTCAGACACAACTCTCAGTCATCAGTTTTTGACATTAGCTAGATCAGGATAGCCTACCCACAGCAGGGATGCTCGGTTCCTGGTTTTTGACATTAGCTAGATCAGGAAAGTCTACCCACAGCAGGGATGCTCAGTTCCTGGGCTACCTACCAACACCCCCGAGCCTGTCAACTTCATTGTCAACTTGATGGAATCTAGAGTCACCTCAGTGGCGGTGTCTTTAGGGATGTCAGTGAGGGTGTTCCAAACAGACATAATTTAGGAAGAAGAACCCACCCACTATTCCACGGGTTAGGGTTCAGACTGAATAAAAAGCAGAAAAGAGAAGGCAAGTTGAGTGGTAGCGTTCATCTCTCTCAGCTTCCTGACTGTGGACACAGTGTGGCCATCTCTCTCTCTCTCATGCTTCTGCCATCACATCTAGAAGAATTACTGCCACGTTCTCCATGATGGGACCCTCGCACTGTGTGGCTAGCAAACCCTCCCTCCCTGAAGTTGTCTTTGCCAAGTGTTTTCTTGTGAGAGCAATGAGAGCAATGAGAAAAGAATAATACAGGAGATTGCTATGGGGGTTAGGGCTGTTGTGGTATTATTATTATATTTATTCTTTCTATAAGAATAAATGCCAAAAGTGGAGGAAAAGGGGGCAGTTGGTTCGGGGCTAGAATCTGAGGGCCTCGTCCATCACGGCGGGCAGTAGGAGCAAGAAGAAGCTGATCTCACTGCATCCCCTCTCGGGAAGCAGAGAGAGATGTGTCAATGTTTCACCCTGTTTCATCTTTAGTGACAATTTAGGACCCTCAAGGCATGCAATGGTGCCACCCACATTTAGGGCGGGCCTTTCCTCTTCAGTTAATCTGTTCTGAAAATATTATCACAGCCATCGTGTTCCTAAATCCAGTCAGGTTAACAAGGAACCTGACCATGTGGTACTTAGGCATTTGCTGCAACTGTCTTGGGGGAGAATTTGGAAGACTTCAGAGTTGAGGCTCCAGGAGCCCTAGAATGCTGGAAGCATGGACGGGCCATTCTAGTGTAAGCGTGAAAGACCAGGATGCCAAAGGCAATGGGGATTGGAAACTGTGTCCATGAGGTTCCAGAGCGAACAAGAATCTACCACGAAATGGGCTAGAGGTCATTCAGGTTACGTTGTGACAAACATTCTGGCTATTTTAAGTCCATGTCCTGAAAACCTGAGTGAAGTTAAATTCAAAGGTAATGTATTTAGTTGTTTGTCGGAGAAATTTCAAGAGAGAAACATATCCAGCCCACAGTTGTGGCAACAGGTGGTTATAGCTGTGAGGACAGGGTTAGTGTTACTTTTAAACCCTGAGCCAAACAGACCACTCCTTCTGTGAACCAAACTTCAGGTTGAGTTTCTGAAGCATTCTGTCACTGTGAGAAAGGCAGCTAACGCAGAGCCAGGTCATCCCTTGCTGTGGGGTGGGCCTGCCCATTGTATGGCGTTGTGCTGTGTCCTTAGCCTTTGAATGGTGGATGACGGTAATGCTTCTACTATTGCCGTGTGAAACCAAACGAACGTCTCAGAACACAGGCTCTGTCTCATACGAGAGTAAAATAAATCCCTTTACTAGCAAGTAATCGAGCATAACCCAAGTTTCGTTAAATAATAGGAAAATTTAGAAACTTAAATGCAGCTAAAACCTCTTGCCCAATTTAAGTTAAAAATGTCTGGCAGATGATACATAAAGATGTTCATACGTGCATATTCCTCCACAGTGTGCTGAGCACATCTTATGTGTATATGCAGAGGCTTAATGTTATATAAAAATCTCAAAACCTATGTGTGCAGTATGAAAAGATAAACTAATATCTTCAACATGCTTGAACATTCTACCAAATAACTCATTTCAAAACATCTGGCCTCATAATTAAATAAAAATCAAATTGTAAGAAATATACAAATGTTGTATATTATGACACACAAAGTGGTAAATTAAATATGTACTGATTCCATGATAGATGTATACTGATTCCGTGATAGATGTATTCTATCATGGAGTCACTACATATTGGCACTTCAAAAATAAAACTGTGTGTGTGCTTGAAGACTATGCACACCACTCATCTCCACTGATGATACACAGTAGAGAGAAGGAAGTGCTATAGATCACAACACCACACAGTATACAGCAGCTGTGCCCAGAGATAAGCCAGTACAATAACTCATGGCTGCCACCTTCAGAACAATGGATGGCAGCATGCAGGCTTTTCTGCATCCAAACAAAAAGACTCCGAACGCAACACTCTTTAGCTCAGGTGTGAATTAGTAAGCTGTGTAAATTTTCTGCATGCGTGCACTACCTGTAACTAAGAAAGCGCTGAGAAACTTGAGTGGCAAAGACATAAACCTGCCTGGCAGCTTGAGGCAGAGCAGCCACTGAAGTCAGGAAGTGTGAGCAGCACTGGAGAGCGGAACAAGTCATCCTGAGAGAGATTAATGTAGGCTCTCGTGAATCCCAAGATTAAGATCAGTAATAAAAAAAAATCAGTAATGAGATTACAGTCTGGGGCCATCAAGGATAAAAGATGGTAATTGATGTGGATAAAAGTAGAAGCAACCAAAATAGGAAAGAACTAACATTTAACATGTGAGAGTTCATAGACAGGAGAGTCAAAAGGAATTTTGCTTAAGGAATCTAAGAGTTGAAGAGTATTAAAATGTCGATCAAAATGGACCCTTTATGACTTAAAGATAGAGGCTGTCTCTAAATCACATGGTAGCACTGAAAATCTCAAGTGTATAACTGTGGGAGACCAAACTACAATTCTAAATAACAATCAAGCCAAATAAGTCGAAAAAGAGAGTTGAAACTGAAGATATGGGGCAAATAAAAGTACAGACTTAAAGCCAAGTGCTTCAGCATTGCATACACAGAGTGTTCTCAGCCAGCTGTGGGAGTGCAAGCATTCAGATAATCCCAGCACTTAAGAGACCAAGGCCCAAAGATGACATAAAGAACAGCCTAGGGCTGCATAACAAGTCTGAGGCCAGCCTTGGCTACACAGAGTAAGCTGATCTTAAAATAATAATAAAATAGGTAAGGCAATAAAATACAATGGTAAAATAAAATAAAAGTCTTAAATATTGAAGGTTGTCACGCTGGATTAAAATCCAAATATATAAAAGTTGCTAAAAAATAATACCAAAAACTAAACAAGCAGAAGGAATATATGTGCCAGTACTATTTTAACAAATGAGAGTGTCATGCTTCTTTTTATTACTTATAAAAAAACAAGTGATTCCACGTTCTACGTAACTGATGACGTAGACTCAAAAGTAAATGAAGCATAAACAACTGTGTTCATGAGGTCTGTTGCTCTGGGTTTCTTTCTCCCATAATGCCTTATGTCCAAGGAGTTACAAAATGAGCTGTTTCCTCTTGAAATGGGTTCATGGGATTAGAACCGGTTCTTACTTAAGTCTGAGAAAATTCTACAGAGACGTCAGCTGTGTCTCAACTTTTGTAGATGGACAGATTTACATTATTAATTCGGTGTCTTTGATTGATAATAATATTATTCAGAATTTCTATTGCAACTTAAGCCATTTAGGATGTTCTATTTCAAGACAGCATTTCATTTCATGTAAATTGATGGATTTATTGTTGTAAATTTATTAATATATTCTCGTTGTTACTTTAAAGTCTGTAGTGTCTGGATTATAACTCCATTTTCTTGTTGATATCGGCAGTATGTGCTGTCTGGTTTCTTTGCAAAGGATTAGCTTTCTAGCTAACATTTTATACTTTCTTCTTCCCGTTTTGTTGATGATAATCTTCTCTTTGTTAGTTTTTTCTTTCTGATCAGCTGTCTTTGCTCTTTTCTCAGCAGAGTTTTCTTGTTTCCTGTATTTCATCTACAATATCCCCTTTTAGCTATTTTTTGCTGCATCAAAAAAGAATATTTTTTGAGGTGGTTCAAATTTGTATTTTTCTTCCACCTGCTCTGGGTCTCTCTCCCATGTGTATGTATATATAGTTCAGTGGCTCGAGTTTCAGGACAGCTGTCCAGGCTGGTTGGCTAGCAGACACCTACCATCCCTGAGCTGGCCAGCCACCTGTGTGGAAGGTTCTGTTCAGCTGGATTGAGATAGCCCCACATATCGAGGAACTGCTTGGGACTTGTGCAAACCCTCTGGCTCTCCTGAAACCCTCTGCCCATCCATCCCAGCATCGCCATTGTCTGACTCCATCCAGATGGACTGCTGCCAATCAATGTCGCCATGACACTCCGTGATAGAAGCCTGCTCGGGAGGAATCAAGGA